TGAATGAATATATTCTCGGAAATAAATAGTAGTTTTGCTGAAACGTGATGTATTTCAATGTAAAATAGGATAAAATACATGTCGAAAACAAAAGACTTTACCTAAGCTTCCGATGTTCTTGAGATGTTACTCGTTTTTTTAATAGTTTTCGGTTAAAATTCTGTTATATTACAATGATATTCTATTCATACCGTGCTTGATATAATACATTCACGGAAATGTAATATTTTTGCTGAAATTACGTACGTATTAAAGTGGAAAGTGGGATAAAATCGTGACGAAAGCAATGACTTTCGCTTTCTTTCGTTCAAAAGATGTTACCGTAATCGCTTTTCGAATGGTTTAGTTAAAAAACTGTTGTATTACAATAATATTCCCTCCTAATTGACTTGAATAAATACAGTACTCCCTCTTTATCGACGGGGGTTACGTTCTGTAGACGGCCGTCGATAAAGAAACCGTCGATACCGTGATGGTTACGTAATTTTTCTAACTATTATTAGCATATGTTGAATAAATGTACCTTTAAGCATTAATGCGTTTCCTTTACACATAACCTTAAATAATAGTGTATAAATAATAATATAATAAGTGGACAAAAATACTAGCAAACTTACGATTTCATTTATTGAAGTGAACATCGGTCCTTACAGTAAACAATACAGTGTACAGTATATACAAGTGTGATGATTGAGGCTTATTAAAAGCCTGACCAGTCAGGCGGGCCGCGGGTAGACGCTAGTCACGCCACTAGTGCCGCCTAGCGGCGAAAGTACAAACAAGGCCCGCAGAGTTCAAATAAAGCCAAAATAAAAATCCGTCGATAATCGAAACCGTCGATAAAAAATCCGTCAATAAAGAGGGAGTACTGTACTTGAATGGAAATATACAATATTTTTGTTGAAACTACCTGCGTTTCAGTGTAAAGTGTTGTAATAATAAATGGTAAACAATTTGCCTTCGACACTCGTGTTTCAGTTTATAGGACGTAGAGCGTTTTTACTGAAGGTTTTGTTGTTCGCTTACCCTCAAAAACGTGGGTCGAACTATAAACGAGGAATATCATAAATTAACGATTTCTTGGTCAAAAAATCAGGGTCGATAGATAAACGAGGGGGGGGTTATAGATGAGTATATACGGTATGTTGTCACAGTTTGATTGCTCGTTTTAAAGTGGAGACCACGTGGTCGCTTGTTGTCGCTGTGCAGCTGTGGCGCTCACGCATGCGCACACACAAAAGCCCGCTAAAAAAAAAATAATTAGTTTTCCAAAAGTCCGGATTCTCAGGTGGTCCGGATTTTTGGCATCCGGATTTTTGGACTTTTACTGTATTATTTATTACTAAATGTTAAAATTTAGTTTTTTCACCCTACATTTCTCTTGTAGGGAGGGTTGATGGTAGGTGGGGGGGAGGGTTGGGAAGGACTGACCATCTGGCGCGGTTGGAAGAGGGGGGGAGGCAAGGTGGGGTACTTTGATTGACAGATAGTGTCGTGAAGAATATTTTTTTTATTATTAACTAAAGATATTTGTTTTAGCTCATAAAATTCATACAAATTACCCAGCCAGAATATAATTTACATTGCTGGAATTCTTACAATTTGATGATCCTTTTGAATATAAACATCATAGATTTTGCATTAGACATACGAATTTTAGATATAATGTTTACTCTGAGTAAATATGTTATCTTTTGTGCAAAATATATGACATTTATATTCAAAATATTCCTGGTCTTACAAGGAATCCAGCAATGTCAATTATATTATCCTAACTTTAGTTTGAGGTATTATTTATTAAAATCCAGTGGTTTTCCCCCCAAAATTTCTCAGAGAGGGAAGAGCCAGCGAGTGTAGTGTGAGAAGAGGGGGGAGTTGAGTCCATTGTTTGAATGGACATTAACTTGGCGACTCTATTTCTCTATTTCTCTTAAGTATTAATTGTGTGCATGTACCATCATAAAATTAAGATGTTATTTTTACTAGAACATAGGTATTGTGTCCGAAAAAGTAGAGTTTGGGGGTCCGGCCAGTCTCTATTGGAATTAATCCCATATGTTCTGTTGTTCACTTAACGCAGTTTTCACTTAACACGTTACCCTGTGGGTTCAGTTGACCGCGTTAAGGGGTACTACTGTATTACTTATTAAGTTTTATCAAATATGTGGAGATCATGTGTCTGGGAGGGGGGTGATGGGTTGACAAATGCGTACACACACACAGACAGAAACATTAAATACAGTATATATGAGAGATTAAGAAGTAGTAAGTTGTTTAAATTTTCAGGTCTGAAGTTCAATTTACCTGTTGGACTTGACAATTGGGCAGTTGTTTTCCCACTGAAGTTCGCTACTGATGCACGTGAGTTGTTGTCCAGTGTACAACGTGTTGGAGCACCCATGGGAATGATGATTAAGAATCCAGCTATGTAAGTTATGTAGATCATTATGAATAATACATAAGTTATGATTTGTGGCTTAATTATCAGTAAATCTCCTTCATTTATCAAAAACTTTCAATCATTATTTAAATATTAATTCAATTTAATGTTTTGTGTAGCTAAATGATGCATTTCCATCATAATCTATTTAATTTTTTGGTACCGAAATACAGTACAGTAGTGTCGGGGTATATAGCGACTTTATACAACGATTATTTTATATCGCGGCTACCAAAATTATAGAAATTTTCCTATGCTGCATATATAGCGATAAATTTATTTGTAGTAGACTCACAACTTACATGGGATTATGTTCCTGGGACCTCACAAAGCCAAAAACTGTATGAAGTCAAAAACCCTCCTAAAAATCCCTTAAATTGCCCCAAAAATACGAGTTGAAAAACTGTACAGTACGTAAATGTTCTGTACTCTAAAAGACTAAAAATTTTATCTCTTTTGCAGAATATATGATGTCTATATTCACATTATTCGCTGTCTTGCAAGGATTCCAGCAATGGATTTATTTTCTGCTAACTTTAGTCTGTGTCATTTTATAAGATAAAAACTTTAAGCTTAATACCACAGTCACCCTTACCGGAAGTCGGAGTGGAGTTGATTTTTTATGACAGCTGGGCAGGAGCGCAAACAACCATTACCTAGTGGTATTTATTTATCTGTCATACCTGTATAGGGGGAGTTGATGTTTTTCTCTTATTAAATTTCAATGAAATGACATAATAGGAAATATTTAACATTGCTGGAATTCTTGTAAGATAGTGATTAATTTGAATATAAACATGCTATAGTTTGCAATAGACATAAAAAATGTAGTAAAAATTTTGTACATTTTAGTACAAAGGACTAAAATTTTTGTCTCGTGCAAAATATGTCTATAGATTATCTGCTGTCTTGCAAGGATTACAGCAATGCAATTTATATTTTGCTAACTTTAGACTGTACCAGTTTATGTCAAGTTTAGTCACCTTTATTGGCCTCCAGAACCTAACCCTATTTTCCCCATTGATTACATGTATATATCTACGTATCGCGATTTAGTATCTAGCGAACATCCTTGGACCTTATCTCGCTGTGTTGGTCCTTTTTTTATAGATTTATATCACACACAAATATATATATGCCTTGTATTAGTTCTGGAACTAGTAAGTGGCTGGTTTTTCTTTATTGTAGAAAAATATAGTTTCACAGGTACTGAGTTCAGTTGAGAGTATATTGTACCTTCTCTGTCTTTGTGCACTTATAGGAGAACACTTAAGTGAGGTGTTCACTGGGTAGCAAGTGATATGGGTCTGCCTGCTCTCTCTTGCTCAGTGTGAGACGCAAGGAGGAGCGGGCGAGGTATTTGTACACCCACTAAAAATTATTCGACTCACTTATGGCATGGTACAATATGACACGGGTGCCGAATAATTTTTTAGTGGGTGTACCCTGGCTCCAAAAGGTACCAGTGTTTGTTAAGTCTCTCCTTAACTAAGCTCACAATCCATGCAGTTATGTTAATAAGTGTGTGCTTTACAGTTTAAAAGAAATATTTTTCCATTTCCAGGTTTGGTTTGCAAGGTGATAGTGTTCATGAGTATATCGGTGTGTTCAATCAATGTGTAGGAAAGCAGCTTGTGTTGATACTTCTATCAAACAACCGTGCTGATCGATATAATGCTGTGAAGCGTCACCTCTCCATTAAAATGGGCATCGCCAGTCAGGTCAGTGAATTAACACGAGTAACTGACAGTATTTGGTGCTTCTTGTTGAAAAATGAGAGGCATTCTAATGTCAATATCAAAGAAAAAGCTTGGGTTAGTTGGGACAATTATACTGTAGGTGCCATGTACTGTAGTTTGGGATATTTTATGCTGTCCTGAGTACAAATTAGCTCAACTTATTTTTACTAAAACAATTACATAAACCTTTAGACAGATAAATTCAGAGCTATAATGTGTAATTATTTCTTTGGATTTCAGTGCATTCTAAGCCGGACATTATTAAAGAAACAACGCCTGATGTCTGTTGCAACAAAGGTAGCAATTCAAATAAACTGCAAGCTGGGTGGTGAACCTTGGAATATTGCAATTCCTCTTAAAGTAAGTAAATAAGAAACCAAAGTCACTTTAGGAGTTTTAGGTCCTCTTTTTTTTAGTTAATATAATTTTAGTAACCGGAATCTCATCAAAGACACCTTTATTATTTTATGTATGCAAATCCACAAATTAATTTAAGTTTAACACTGTCATTCCAATTTCTCAGTCATTTATGTTACTAAGTTTGTGGAGAGCCTGTTGGTGTGATATATGCACAGTATACTCCACTTGTGTACTTGCTAAATTATATGAAGACTGCATTTTTCTATTTTTAACTACAAAATTCTAACTTCAGTATGCTTATACCTAATTTATGAACTGACAATAATTTAGATATCTTAGAAAATTAAGAAATTCTTCCATTATTGATTAAAATAATACAGGTACAGTACAGGAGTATATCGCTGAGGCATACATATTCAGTCAGTGTGAGTGAGTTTGCCAGGTGTATTGTTGATAGACTGGCATAATGCTAAGTGTTAATACATATATTTTGTTTTATTGCCAAAGGGGTTCGTAAGTGAATTGAGAAATTTCTCACTGCTAACGCCCCCTGTAAGAGCTGCCATTGCTTGGGGATCTTGTAAGGCTTGGTGGCAGATATACTGTATACTACCATACTGAACATACAGATTGTTTTGCTGTAAGCTAAATGTTTACTAGCCTTTTCACCCATTCAGGTTTTGCTGTAAGCTAAATGTTTACTAGCCTTTTCACCCATTCAGGTTAAGATTTAAATTACAGTGACCCCTCGTTTAACGAACTCAATCCGTTCCAGAAGGTCGTTCGTTAACCGAAACCATTGTTTCAATGGGTTTTTGGGTAATTGGTTCCAGCTCACCGAAAATTTCCTAAATTCAACAAAAATGGTAGAAAAGTTCACTTACTTTGAGGTGTGTATGTAGAAGGCTCCTGGATGATGATGATGATGATGGGAATTAGAATGGGGGTGGAGGAGAAGGAAGAAGAGAAGGCATTGGGGTGGAAGAGAAGTCACCCCATGGCACCATTTCATCCATAAAATTTTAGTTCTCTTGGTGTATTTCAAGATTATTTTCTTTAAATCAACACTGCACTGCATTATATATTGTCAATATGTAAAATATATTTCAAAATGACCAATAATTTGCTTGGAAACACAGAAAAAAAGCGTTTAGTTGAAGAGAGTCTCAAGCAGGATGTTACCTCCACTGAAAACAGAGAGAGACTAACGCCTGTCTGGTGTGTTAACAGGCTGGATGGCACGCCAGAGACTAGTTTCTTTACCTTCATTTATGTTCAATAATTGTTAAAATGACTAAAAAAGTTAATATTAAACTTTCAAAATTATTGAATAGTATAAACTTAGTGATATTTACTAAAATAGTATGGAATTTAAGCCCTAGAACTGATTAATGTATTGGCGGACTGATACTAAAGCTGGTTGCCCGGTCAGTGCAAGCGAAAACATGTTGAGGTCGGTTTGTAAGAAATTCGTTAACCGAATATTTGTTCGTTAACCGAATTGAAGATCCTTATAGAAGGCAGTTCGTTAACCGAAATTTCGTTAACCAAGGCGTTCGTTAAACGAGGGGTCACTGTACAGGTATATATAGTAGTTTTATCCGATCATTAAGATGTCAAGTCAGGATTCTCTGTGTTAATACACAACTCAGCCTTAGGAAACTTATGTTCGCAAATACACTCAAATACACTAGGTTATTTGCCACAAGGCACATTGTCCAAATTTTCTTTCCTAGGGTCAAAATAGACACTAGGGCACGGTGGCATGGACACCAGTAAGCAGATTTCTTGCCTACTCCTCATAAGTCATAAATTTCACTCCTTTGAGGCTCTGATTGTTTACGGAGGTTTGAAGGGTCATATTAATATATCACCTCTTCCAATTTTAGGAACCCTATCAAAAAGCTTGAATCCCTAGTTAGTTGCCAATATTAAAAGAGCTGTCTACCATGAAGCAAATGACCTTCATCCCTTCCTTTTTTCCAGTGGATGATGTAAGGGTAACTGTTTTGGCCACTATTCTAAACCTATTTCAAATGGGAACAGCCAAATGGAGGGTCCGCTTTAAATAGCTTAGAGATGCCAATTTTGGTTGAAAAGATGATTTGAACAGCACATTACTTGACAGCCCCTGACATGAAGGATTGGCAGATGCTGTAAATCATGGTACATTGTCAATCATGCATGGGATTTCAGGATTTAATCTCTTTTTGTCAAGCTGTAATCCTTTTCATGAGTAGCACTTAAAAGTAACCCCTGAAAAACAAAAATGGGTTTGGAGTTGACATTGCTTTATGCCCAGCTCCTCTGAACAGTCAGAATATTATATACTGCCTTGAAGCCTCTCCTAGCAATACAAGATCATTGAGAGTTGTGTCGAAAGGACCTTGGATTTAGCTGGTTGTCAAGAAAATTAAATAGATAAGGTGTTGGGATATGGAAACTGAGACCTTGACACAAAAATATTGCACGAATAATGCTGATAATAGTAATTGATTTTTAGACAATTTGATCGAGGGTAGCTTACAAAGCCATCAGTCAGGTCCTTTTAGTTTAAATGCCATCAGCCTTTGGTGTTCCCAGACAGTCTACCATCCAAGTATTACCCAGACCAAATGTTGCTTAACTTTGCTGAATGGACACGAAGCAGTGTTCTCAGCTTGGTATGACCATGCTGGAATTTATATTAAACGAGTAAATTTTTAGGGAATAAGTTGGGATTAATGTTAGAAAAGATATTTGATAATATTAAGTAAGTTTTATATAGGTACACCACCGATTTTCCGGCACCCTTGGTTCCAAAGCCTTGCCGGATGGTCCGAGGTCAGATAATAACAATTCAACAATACACTTCTGGCCCACTAATTATACACCTCCCATATCTCTAAAGCACCATGGACTACTAGAAACTTAAATGAAACTAGGTGACGTTTATTAGGGGGCAGGGAAAAAACACTTTTATTTGAGTTGCAGGCTGCACTTTTCAGGCATCGTTTGTATGGCTGTAACAAACACCTGTGCAAAATTTCATGCCATTTCATGCATACTTACCCTGCCGCATCGCGAACGACTTTTTGTCAACTTTTAGTGTATACCAAAAATTAGGTGTCATTTAATGTTTTCCAGGATAATGATAAATTTTACATGGGTGACATCGATTTAATTCACATGTTATTTTACAGGTACACCGTATAGAAAATCATTACAAGTTCATATTGAAATTCTTTTTTGTGCGGAACCTTGGCATCATTTTCCTAGACAATAATCTTTGCTTAATATATCCATCTCTCGATTCGTATCCCGTCACTTCAGTGCAAGCTTCAGTCATCACTTTTATGCCTCTCTCGACCGCCTGAGTGCTGTTTGGCCACTTGGGCACCACTAATGGTGTCTCAAGAATGTCATAAACCTGTAGATTTGACAGAAGCAATGTAAGGAGGCTCAGTCTTGAGTTCATTCCTCCAGTTAATCATGGAATGATAGTTTTTTGCTTGCCACTTTAGTTTCGGAGTCACCACCTTTCTCATGTTAACTACAGGAGGCACATCCTCATTCCCATCTCCATCTTTACCCTCCTCATCAGTATAGTTTAACAAATTCTCGTCAACAGCAGCATCAGAATCTTCCTCCTCCTCTTCAGATCTGCCAGTGCATTCTTCCTTTTGCTGATTCTCCTCTCTAATTTTTCTTATCATTGAGACAGCTTTTTCTCTAACAGTCATGTCCTCATCTGCACACATACCAAGAAGAAGTTGATCTGTGTGGGCGAAGTATGCATTTCTCTGGACAGCCTTCTTCACTATCGTCTCCTCCTCACTATTCAGGTGTTTCATATATAGCAGGGACTGGAATACGTTCCTTGAGCCGTGTGTTACGTAAGGGTGTATCTTGATGTAAAACCACATTGGAGCACTGAACTTTATTATTGTAATGACAATTCTTTTCAACTCATTGCTGGGTCTTGATGTTGCTACATACAGCCTGAGGATTCTACTCCATAAGGTGTTCCACCTTGACACACAGGGAGGACCTGGCTCAATAGCAGCCAAGTCATCTTCAACAACACCTGTGATAACTCCTTTACAAATCCTATACAGGTATTTCTGATCCCAGGACAGATCTTTCTCCACTTCATCATTAAACACAGGGAAATCAGGGAAACTGACTGGCTGGAAGGCGACAACTGGAAGCTCAGACAAAGACTCCTTGATCTGCTTTCCAATGGGACCACGCCAATGCTCAGGACCACTTGGTTTACCATCATAGTGATAAAAAACTGCGCGGAAAGGCAGCTCATTTCCGTGAAGCTGACATATGAAATAATGGAGCGGGTGACCAAGTAACATTTCAAGATGATGAATGACTCCATTTTCTGATCCTACATTTACATTGGTTCCATCACAACCAACACACACAATGGGCTGCTGGGTTAGATTTTTCTCCACCAGAAACTCGTGAATAGTTTTGGCAATCTGCTTTCCGTGTCCAGTCTTGGGAGTCACATGTGTGAGATATTCATTGCCAGGCTCAACCATGATGACATAATGATCTTTCACCATCATCCTCGAACTCCATTTCTCGGTCTTCTCATTCTTTATCATCACACGAGTGGCGGTCTTCTTACCATCAAAATAAAGTGACGTAAAATTATCTAAACTAGCCATTTCAATTTCTTGCCTCTTAAATCGGTATTTTTGTCTCGCATCCCGCAGCTTATGTGGTCCAATAACCTGACTCTTGTCATCCTTTGTGATAATGCCATAGTCAGTTAAGGTGGCAGTAGCAATGGCAGCTCCAGCATAATCACTAATCAAGTATCGGTCACAAGCGGCAGCCAGTGTAGGGAGTCTTGTCCGGTTCTGTGAATTGGTGTCTGTCAGAGCCCTTGGATCAGGGACAAAATCAGCATCAGTATTGACGAGAGGAATATCTCTTGAATCATCTGAATTATATAGACATAGCACCATACTCATCTGCAACAAGACAACTTAAATGAAATAAGAGATATGAAAAAAAAGTTGATAAACACTGAACAGAACATTGCACCGCCACAGCGGCTGTTTGGCTAGTACTGTAGGTAAATTTAAAAATTTCAGTAGGAAATGTGGCAGACTAAACCTCGACATATCAGCTTCAAATTTGGCATGGAGTCTTAGATATGTATAAGGAACAATGCCTGAAGAGTGCAGCTTTGAGCAAAATTTCACTGCCCCCTAATGTTTATACTCAAATTAATCACTGTATTACAAGGATTCCAGCAATGTAATTTATATTCTGCTAAGTCTAGTCTGCGATGGTTTATAGGATAAAACTTTAAGCATAAATTGCCTTCACCCTGGCTGTGAGGAAGGGAAGGGTTGACGTGTTGGCAGCTGTCAGAGAGGGGAGATAACAAAGTGGGTAATCAAACTAGAAGGAGTTTTAGTTTTTCCCTTATAAAATGTCACTGAATTGACTTGACAGTATATAATTTGCATTGCTGTAATTTTTGTAAGATATTGATTAATTTTAGTACAGTATTACCCCGCTTAACACGGTTTCGCTTCGCGCGTTTTACCGTATACGCGGTGCCTCGCCAGAGCCGAACTTTCACTTAACATAGGTTTTTTCCACGTATACGCGGTGAGTGTCCGGCTTGAGAGCTATTTTTAGATTCGCCCCACCCGCCACCCTGCCTGACTGCCTGTTTTAGCTCATAAAATTCATACAAATTACCTGGCCAGAATATAATTTACATTGCTGGAATTCTTACAATATGATGATCATTTTGAATATAAACATCATAGATTTTGCATTAGACATACAAATTTTAGATATAATGTTTACTCTGAGTAAAGATGTTATTTTTTTTGCAAAATATATGACATTTGTATTCAAAATATTCCTGGGCTTACAAGGAATCCAGCAATGTCAATTATATTATCCTACCTTTAGTTTGAGGTATTATTTATTACTAAAAAGGTAAATATTCTGGTTTTCCCACACATCTGGTAGGGACGGTTGGTGTGGGGGAGGGGGGGGACCGACCGACCATCTGTTACTGTGTGAAGAATTTTTTTTTTTATTATTATTAACTGAAGATATTTGTTTTAGCTCATAAAATTCATACAAATTACCCGGTCAGAATATAATTTACATTGCTGGAATTCTTACAATTTGATGATTATTTTGTATATAAACATCATAGATTTTGCATTAGACATACAAATTTTAGATGTAATGTTTACTCTGAGTAAATATATTATCTTTTGTGCAAAATATATGACATTTATATTCAAAATATTCCTGGTCTTACAAGGAATCCAGCAATGTCAATTATATTATCCTAACTTTAATCTGAGGTATTATTTAATACTAAATGTTAAAATTTAGTTTTTTCGCCCAACATCTCTTGAAGGGAGGATTGGTGGGGGGTGGGGGGGAGGGTTGGGACTGACCGCATGGTTGGAAGAGGGGGGGGGGGCAAGGTGGGGTACTTTGATTGACAGATAGTGTCATGAAGAATATTTTTTTTTTATTAACTAAAGATATTTGTTTTAGCTCATAAAATTCATACAAATTACCCGGCCAGAATATAATTTACATTGCTGGAATTCTTACAATTTGGTGATCATTTTGAATATAAACATCATAGATTTTGCATTACACATACAAATTTTAGATATAATGTTTACTATGAGTAAATATGTTATCTTTTGTGCAAAATATATGACATTTATATTCAAAATATTCCTGGTCTTACAAGGAATCCAGCAATGTCAATTGTATTATCCTAACTTTAGTTTGAGGTATTATTTATTAAAATTTAGTGGTTTTCCCCCAAAAATTTCTCAGAGAGGGAAGAGCCAGGGAGTGTAGTGTGAGAAGAGGGGGAGGGAGTTGAGTCCATTATTTGAATGGACATTAACTTGGCGACTGTATTTCTCTATTTCTCTTGAGTATTAATTGTGTGCATGTACCATCATAAAATTAAGATGTTATTTTTACTAGAACATAGGTATTGTGTCGGAAAAAGTGGAGTTTGGGGGGTCAGGCCAGTTTCTATTGGAATTAATCCCATATGTTCTGTTGTTCACTTAGCGCGGTTTTCACTTAACACGGTACCCTGTGGGTTTTATTGACTGCGTTAAGTGGGGTACTACTGTATACTGTACTGTAATATCACAGTCTGCACTAGATAAAATTTTTAGTAATTAACTTATTACAGGTTTACTCTTAGGACAATTATTTCTTTTGCCTTTTTCACTATATATATTTAGGATGGTGTGTGCATGTAAAAGAGTAAAAATAAATGAAGAAAGTTACATATATCTTCCTAAAAATATGAGTTAAAAAACTTGTACAGTAGTACCCGATTTACGCGGTCAATTGAACAATTGAACCCACAGGGTACCGCGGAAACGCGTAAAGTGAACAACAGAACATATGGGATTAATTCCAATAGAGACTGACCCGACCCCCAAACTCCACTTTTTCCGACACAATACCTATGATGTAGTGAAAATAACATCTAAATTTTATGATGGTATGCTCACACAATTAATATTTAAGAGAAATACAGTCGCCAGGTTAATGTCCATTCAAATAATGGACTCAAATCCCCCCCCCCCTCTTCCCAGCTCACTAGCTCCTACCTCTCTGAGAAATGTTTGGGTGAAACCACTAGATTTTAACGTTTAGTAATAAATAATACCTCAGACTAAAGTTAGGATAATATAATTGACATTTCTGGATTCCTTGCAGGTCAGGGAATATTTTGAATGTAAATTTCATATATTTTGCACAAACGATAAAATATTTGCTTTGTGTAAACCAAATTATTACATTAGATCTAAAATTTGTATGTTTAATGCAAAATCCATGATGTTTATATTCAAAATGATCATCATATTGTAAGAATTCCAGCAATGTAAATTATATTCTGGCCGAGTAATTTGTATGAATTTTATGAGCTAAAACAAATATCTTCAGGTAATAAAAAAAAATAATAATATTCTTCACGACACTATCTGTCAATCAAAATACCCCACCTCCACCCTCCCTCCCTTCCTACCCCCCACCTTCCCTCCCTACCAGAGAAGCGATTGGGAGAAAATAGTATATTTACATTTTTAGTAATAAATAATAACCCAGACTAAAGTTAGGATAATATAATTGACATTTCTAGATTCCTTGCAGGTCAGGGAATATTTTGAATGTAAACTTCATTTATTTTGCACAAAAGATAAAATATTTGCTTTGTGTAAACCAAATTATTACATTAGATCTAAAATTTGTATGTCTAATGCAAAATCCATGATGTTTATATTCAAAATGATCATCATATTGTAAGAATTCCAGCAATGTAAATTATATTCTGGCAGGGTAATTTGTATGAATTTTATGAGCTAAATAAAAAAAAATAAAAAATAAATTATACTTCACTGCGTATATGAGTAGTATATGAGTAGATGCACCATGGAAAGTGAAAGTCTGGTTCAAGTCCGGTTCTGGCAAGGTACCACGTAAATGAGAAATCACAGAAAGTGAAACCGTGTAAAGCGGGGTAATACTGTACACACATGTACTACACAAAACTAAAATTTCCATCTCTTGTGCAAATTTTGTGATGTTTATACTCGAATTAATCACTCTTACAAGGATTCCAGCAATGCAATTTATATTCTGCTAAGTTTAGTCAGCTACATTTAAGAGATAAAAAAAACAAAGCCTAAAACTACCTTCACCCAGGTTGCGAGGGAGGGAAGTTAGTGCCCCCTCATAATTTTGTCTGGACTAAAGGAGGTGCCGGACCATCAGTTCCCGGATAATCGGTGGTGTACATGTATTACATTGTATCTTATGAACAATGCTTCATGAAATGTTCCTCAAGTTTTGTTTAGGTCATTTCGTGTAGACCTGAAGTGTTATAAATAAAAAATGATGTAATTTTTTTTCAGAATGCTATGGTTATTGGATATGATACTTACCATGATAAAGCTACAAGAGGACAGTCATATGGTGCAGTTGTGTCTTCTACAAATCAGACATGGACACAATACCTATCACAAGTATCATGCCATAGCAGTCAGGAGGAACTTACAAATAATTTTGCTGCAGGTATAAGAAGTGAGTTAACATTATCTTCTTTTTTGTATGAAGGAGCCTACTAATGGTGTTTATTAATCCCTCACCAACCACAGGATTGTCATCATCGGTTTTGAGTGTCCACATTTTTTATATTGTACACAATTTAATGTTCCACAGGATTCATGTTTCCGTAGCCAGTAAACCCCCGATATAATGAACTATAGTATTTCCACGCTAACTTGGCCCCTAAGCCACACCCCTCTTCTATAAAAATAGCTGATAGATTTAAAGAAAATGTTGGTGTAGCTGTCCATTATTCAAACTAAATACAGTATTTTCTTGATTTAATGAACTAATTTGAGCCATCCCTGGTTGTTAGATCAAAATTTCTGCTAAACTGAGCTTTCCGTTATGTTCGTTCAATTTGCTGAACTATTTCACTAAATAGTTGCTTGGTGCATCGGGTTTGTTTACATCTGCTAGTCTGTGTTTTGCCACCACCACATGTGTGGTTCACTGCTACCTCTCGGTCAGCTAAGTACACTGGAGCACCTTAGTCTTTGTCTTTATTCAAGACATCTTCATAGGCAACTGATTTTACAGGGATGGAATGTCAGGTCACCTTTTCTTGGTTGGGGGATTAGTGGGTCTCATGACCTGAAGATGTCTTGAATAAGCACGAAAGCTAAAGTATTTTTTGGGGGACCTGACCTGACTTAATGCAGTGTTAGGTGGGGGATTAGTTGTCTCATATTTCTGACCTGATGGAATGTCAGGTCACCCTTTCTTTGGTGGGGGATTAGTGGGTCTCATGACCTGAAGATGTCTGAATAAAAATTAAAGACGAAACCTTAAGTATTTTTAAGGAGATTGTGATAAGCATAAATGAGCGAAGTTGTATCTCTTTAACAATACATTACATAATATTTTAAAATATGGAGTGAGAAAGCAGAAAGGTGTGAGTGATTAGAAAGATAGAGTGGCACCATGTTGCCAAGCTCTCCTCAACAGCTGGTGTTTATCTTGCCACCAGGCAGTAACACAACAAGACCCTCACTGGATGCATGTTGTCTTAATTCCTCTGTGTGTGTGTGTGTCAGGAACACACCCCAACATCACATACACACACCCCCCAACACACCCACCCTCCAACATCACACACACACCCTCCAACATCACCAACACACACACTCCAATACCACCAACACACACACACCCCCTCCAACATCACCAACACACACCCTCCAACACCACCAACACACACCCTCCAACACCACCAACACACACCCTCCAACACCACCAACACACACCCTCCAACACCACCAACACACACACCCTCCAATACCACCAACACACACACCCTCCAATACCACCAACACACACACCCTCCAATACCTCCAAGACACACACCCTCCAATACCTCCAACACATATGTCAACAGTCTGAACCAACACACATCCCTCAGCAAAGCCTGGAAAGACATAAACATAATCAGAGGTAAAAACAGAAGACACGTCTCCCATCCAAACCCTCTGCAAAAGTCGAATGAGCTAATAACAAAGTGGGCTCATGTGTCGAGCTATGACATGTTACCAGCTAGGACTCGGGGACTCCTTGATGCGAAGTCTGTAGAGAGAAGTAAACTTATTAGCTTTATGCTGGGCAAACAGCACGATGAGTGTGATGTTCCATATACTGAGTGGGAGCTTGACGCCGCCCTCGCCAGGGGTAGGTCTACTTCCCCTGGAGAGGACGGAGTCACCTACAACATCATTAGACTACTAAGGCGCGTGCCAGGCAATCCATTGTTGGTATTGTACAATATGAGTCATGCCGAGGGCCAACTACCCACATCATGGACCAGCAGTATTGTTGTACCAATACCGAAACCAGGACAGCCTGATGCCTTTCGTCCCATATCACTAACCAGCTGCCTGTGTAAAACCTTTGAGAGGATGGTTCTTGGCAGACTCTTATATAGAATCAGAGAACACATGTCTCCTAACATAAATGGCTTCACCCATGGTAAAGGTGTACATAATTGCATCACCACATTCCTAACTGTGCATGGTGATGAAAGGCACAGATACACCACATTTCTTGACCTAAAAGCTGCATTTGATATTGCCAATAGGCAACTGATATTGTACGAACTAGCCAAAATGGATATAGGAGGTAGGCTGTTACACTGGATAAGTGGTTACCTAACCAACAGAAGGGCTGCTGCACTGTTTCAGGGTTACAAAAGTGAAGTTAAAGATATGCAACTTGGTACCCCTCAAGGTGGAGTACTTAGCCCCACTTTGTTCAATGTTCTTATGAATGCATTATTAAATTTAATACCAGACAACCCCAGCAATATCTCAATCAGCTATGCTGATGATATTCTTATACATACTAAAACTCATCGTGAAATGCAAACCACCCTGAACCATGTATACGCAGCCTGTGAACACCTCGGTCTTATTATCTCCACTGACAAAACTAAGGTGTTCAACAAACAAGCTGGTAACCGCAAACGCGGCCCCGCCAAGTTCAAGATAGGTAACAACACTATTGACTATGTTTCTTCTTTTAAATATCTTGGTGTTTCCGTCCCTTGTACCCTACCTGCCATACAACAGCTAACCCGCCAATGTACTGACAGACTGAGACCTCTTAGAAGTGTAGCGGGGTACAGCCCGCACTATGGTGCTAATATTAGAATTGTTAAAACAATGTACCTAGGCTATATAAGATCTCTGATAGATTACCACGCACCAGCCCTGGTCATTCGTGACGGGAAAGGCGTTGACAAGCTCGAGAAAATGCAAAATAAAGCCCTCAGAATTATCCTAGGATGTCCCATGAGCACTAAAGTACTTAATATGAGGAAAGAACTAGGTATACCCAGTGTTAAAGATAGAATAATTGAAGTCAACCTCATGATAGCCCTGAGGCTTCTGCGTGGTGATCCTGATAACATTGTTTCCTTAAAATTGCTAGAATGTATGAACCATGGGACTACTGAGTCTAAATGGATCCAAACTACAGCTACACATATGAAGATGTTTGGACTAGACCACCTGTACAAAGTTGAGACACAACAGCGCTTCCTGCCACCCTGGCGGACAGTTCCCTTCGATATCACAATACCGACGTATCCGCCTAAAAAATTAATTATACAAAGCATTTATCTCCAACACACTGCCAAATTGAGAGCTCTTGAACACATACACACTCTACAGACTGATGATAATATCACACAGACCATCTACACTGATGGATCTCTAAACACCGCCTGTGGGAGGGCTGGAAGTGCTATTGTTGTGACTCAACCTGACAGTAATATAATTGAGAAAGGAGTTAGAATTAACAACTGGGCATCCACTCTACAAACTGAATTAGTTGCCATACTCAGCTATTAAATTCATTGAAACCACTGTTACTGACAGTCTCATCATCACTGACTCTCTATCCTCACTACTTGCCCTTGGTACCCTCGACTCAGGTTGTCACGCTCTTGTCTCTGAAGCCAGACACAAATATGCGTGCCTTGTTGACCGGGGTGTCAGGGTCAAACTGTTGTGGATCCCCTCTCACATAGGCCTCATAAAACATGACAGAGTTGATGCCCTCGCCAAACTCGCGTCTAACAAAGACACCGTTGAATACAATTTGGGTCTGTCAAAAAGAACCCTTAAAACTGTAATTAGGAGAGAACTTATTGATGAGTTTGACGCAAGTAGACAAGTGCAAACAGGCACTAGTCGATCCATAGGTTACCATGATGAGATGTATCAAGTGAAACATGTATATGGAGCAAGTAACAAGATCACTAGATTACAAGATGATGTAACCGCTAGATTAAGGTTAGGATATAAGTACCTTTGACAGTATGTTCCTCAAGCAGATGTAAACAAAACTAAATGTAAAGTGTGTGGCCATACATATGGCCACACACTTGAACACTACGTCCTCGACTGTGTGAAGATAGAACCTTTTAGGGACAGGTCCAAGCACACTGTGTGTGAAATGGCACAACACTTCATCTCTAATGGAAAGATAGCCGACATATTAAGATTGTATCCACTTTTTTGCACTTAGTAACTATCAATTCTCATGTACAGAACCAAATACGCAATGTGCTTGAATACCTCCCACGTAAATGTGAATAACAAAGTGTGAGGCCAGACATACTGCCTCACACGCCTGTTCTCACGCATTTGTGAATAAGTTACCCTTTATGTATAGAACTAAACAAATAATGTAAATGAAATACTGTGTAACTTTCAGTGCCATAATATCCTGACAACGGGGGTTAATTATAATGACCCTTTGTAAACCCTACTCTGTAATCCTTTTGCGCTACCGCTCACAGGATGAGTGTGGGGTGCACAATAAAGTAGCCGCTGGAAGCGGCAAAATCAATCAACACACACACACACACCCTCCAATACCACCAACACACACACCCTCCAATACCACCAACACACTCACCCTCCAACACCACCAACACACACCCTCCAACACCACCAACACACACACCCAACCCACCACACCTCCAACACACGCCACCAACACACACACCCTCCAACACACACGCCACCAACACACACACTACCAACACACACCTCACCACCTCAACATCACCAACACACACCCTAACACCACAACACACACACACACCCTCCAACACCACCAACACACACACCACTCACAACACTCCAACACCACCAACACACACACACCCTCCAACACCACCAACACACAACCTCCAACACCACCAACACACACCCACCAACACTACATCCAATACCTCCACACTCCAACACACACACCCTCCAGCACCACCAACACACACACACCCTCCAATACCTCCAACACACACACCCTCCAACACACACCCTCCAACACACACCCTCCAACACCACCAACACACACCCTACAACACCACCAACACACATGCTTTATCATTGATGATATAAGATATTAAATACAGTGACCCCTCGTTTAACGAACACCTCGGTTAACGAAATTTTGGTTAACGAACTGCCTTC